GCTGTCCACGCACTCGCCTCTTTCTCCGCGCGCGCTAGTCACACGCCTGAGTCAGGCATAGAGACGCGCACTGACTCACGCCCGCGAAGGTGAAGCGACGTAATTACGCAAAATTGATGACTAACGAACATCATCGCCGTTATACAGTATGAATCAGCGCTAATCCGCGCGCGGCCCATTGAATTAAATGTCTAAGAGCGCGCGCGAGGGGGGGAACGTAGCGCTCGCTGACTCATGCAACCCCTTCAGACATGCAGATTGCCGGTTGCTGCTGGTCAGCTGTCTAGCCCTCATCGATCGGCGTCGTCGCGGGGCGAGCGTTGAAAAGTGATTTGCCCCCACCAGCGTACCGCCGCCGTACGCCTGCTTTCTCCTTTCTCGTTGGGCTGCGATGATCGATTGCAGCCTCAGCCGAGCGAGCGGAATCAAGTTTGGCCGAGATAAAACCGCCGCGGCAACAACAAAACTTTCGGCTGCTTTCTCCGGCGCGCGGCCTGTCCCGACCTTTTTGCGCGCTTATTATTTCCCCCCCCCCCCCCCGTGAATTTATCGGGCAATAACAGCTCCTTCCTTCTGTGCGCGGCGCGGCCTTTGATTTAGAGCGATCAGCCGAAAGCGATTGAAAAATTCCCCGCTAGCCGCCGAAGAATTTTCCGATTATGGCTCCTTCTCCGGCGACGGCGGGAGGGAGAGGCCGAGGGTCGAGTTATTGCGCTTTGTACGGCTAAACTTTCGCTTTGTCAGCGAATTTCCGCGCGGCGGACAAAGCGATCGCTCGTTACCGGCGCTGACCCGCGCGCGCCACTAATGATTTATCGCGTGTCATTTGGCCGGCGCGCGACGAAAATATTCGCGGGCGCGCGCGGCCCAGCAGCTGATTTATACTTTGCGCGCGTAAGCCCGCCGATCGCGGCTAAATGACATTTAGCGCGACCGGTGCTTTCAAGTTTCATTCAGCATTTTCCGATTATTTCGCCCGGCGAGCGCGAGCTCGCCTTTCAAAAAGCTTTTAAAAGCAGCTTTTCCACTTACCGCATTATTTAAATTTCGGCCGATTGAGAGCAACGTTAATCCATCGGGACTGGCCGATGTATTTGCTCGGCGGCGCTCAAAGCCGCAAGAATGAACGATGCTATGCTCGTTAAATTTTCGATTCGCCCGGCCGAATCAATTAACTCGCGCGCGCCCGATCCGCACTCGAACACCGAAATTCGGCCGCGCAAAGAGTTATCGTTTGGAATTGCGCCGGCGGCGAGTCGGCTGTTGGCTCGGACTCGCCGCAACAGCTTTCGGCGAAAAGCGCGCCTCAATTTTTGAGAGGACACCGGCGACGGACGTCGGAAAGCAGCTTTCTGGCGCACGCGCCGCTTTTATTTATGCGCCCGCGCGGAAGTCCCGACGACGACGACGACGACGACGACGACGACGACGACGACGTGGCCAAGGCACGAGAATTTATGTGGGCAACGAGCAGGCCGCGCCGCCCAAAGCCACGGATTTTGAGCTCCGAGCTCCCAGACGACCGTCCCTTCTATTCACGAAATGCATAATACGGTCGCGAACGAAGATTAACGTTGATTGCCAATGAAAGCAGCCTCGTCCAGACGCCACAGTCAATTCTAACACCCTACGCTTGCGAATGATTAGCAGCAAAGTGGCTCATTAACGGCGCGAACGATCTGGCGCGTCGCGTTGGATCGTCATCGGAACGAGAGCGGCATGCAAGTCGCACAATGGCACCACAGCCGCAGATTAAGTAGCGCTCGAAGAAAGAAAGAAAGAAAAAAAAAAAAAAAAACAGGCAGTTTGTGGGGCCGCGCACTCGGCGAGGGAAAGAGCGGAAACCAGCTAGAGAGCTGGTCGCGCTGTGGCGAATAAATGGGCGTCGTAGCGCCAGCGGGACAGGTAATAGAGCATAGAGCGCGCGCAGAGCAGCAGCGGGATAATCGGCTTGAGTCTCTTTCTCGTGGCGAGTTAATCGCGGGCGCCGCGAATAATGGGCCTCGCGCTCTCCGGAATTTTTTCTCCTCTCCGCGGCTATCTCGCCTTTGTCCCAGATGCGACTCGGCTTTTACGACGCTAAGTACCCCCGGACCTCGAATTATTACGGCATTAGTCTGCTTTTCTTTTTTCTTCATTGTCCTCCGAATAGATTTCCCGCTCGCATCGATTTGCCGCGGAGTATGTAGGCTAATTTGGAAATCAATAACCGCGCGACCGTGATTTATCTGGCTCGACGTCTCTTCGCGCTTGTGAAACACATTTTCCCCCGAGAAAGTCGGCGTCGACGTTGAAAAGTTTCGTCTGTCGCAATCGCGCCGTAGAAGAGGAGCCCTAATCGGACAAACAATCCGGAATCGCGGCGGCTGCTGCTGCTGCTGTTGCGCTCGACTGATCGGCAGCGATTCGCGACCAGTAAGACGACGAATGAGCCGGCAGAGAATGGCGATGTGCTAATCCAAACAGAGAGAGAGAGAGAGAGAACGAGTCGCCTGGCTACTTTTTCTGCTCTAATTAGCCAGTCGGAGCACCGAGCTTTGTCCGACGTACGTCGCCAGAGCTAGGAGGAGGCATATCGGAGAATAATGAGGAGGATCCATTAGTGTAGGGTGTCAGTGCAGCATTAACTAGTAGGCCGGGCCAGCTGCCAGAATGGCTTGATTAAGCATTGGCTAATGAGCAGGGATTGCCCAGCTCCTATTCCATATACATGTACTTTTGTTTCGATGCTCTCAAAAACTAATGAAAGAAGCAGCAATCTCCAGAGAGGAAGAGAGAGACGCGTGATTTAGACGGGAATAAGGGCGGTCATCAGAGCGAGCGAGCGAGCGAGCAGAAGCACGAGAGTGGAGGTTGGCCCTTGGGGGATTGCCGCCCGTGGCATGCAGCAGCAGCGTAGCCATTACCTAAGTAAGTCGCTGCTAAATTTTTCGCTGAATGGGGAGCCAGCCGGCCGGCTGAATGGAGCCGGCGCGCTCTATCTCGCCGCGTCCGCAAAAAAGGGAAGAAAGACAAGAAAAAAAAAAACAAAGACAAACAAAAGCGAGAGGCGAAGATAAAGCGGAGCACGAAAAGCAGCGGCTCGCTAATCGCTTCTGATGGCCTCCGAAGGGGGATGTTCATTAGCCCACCTGCTCGCCGCTCAATTGGTTTATCTGCTTACGCGCCCCCACGTGTCCGCGCGCGAGCGCCGCCGCGACCTCGATTCTTTAACTCCGGTGGCGGCCCTCGTGAATCAGGCTAAGCCGCCCCGGCGATAACCTGGCGCGCGCTCGGCTCTTCTTTTTAATACAGTGCGCACCGACGGACGGGCTTCATTACGCGGATTATCACATTTCTCGCCCTCCGTTTCTTTTTCTCTCTCTTTCCTTTTTTCTGCCCCCCCCCCCCTCTCGCTCCACCTGCATACCTGCATAATTCCTAATGTACTCTCGCGCCAGAAGAATGGCGCTGTACGCGTCGGAATGAAAAGTAAATAGAAGAAATGGGCGCTGGTTGCGCCGGGTTATAATAACTTGATGGATCCCTGTAAAAAATTGATTGCCGTCATTTGTTGAAGCGAGAGAGAGAGAGAGAGAGAGAGAGAGAGAGAGAGAGAGAGAGAGAGAGGAGAGCTCGTTTAGACTCATCTGTCAAGAAGACTGGCTGGCTGTGAATAGAGCGACCATCATTAATACGAATTTATCGAGTGATTCACTCACCAAGACACAGCTCCTGAGAGAAAGGCGAAGAACAGAAGGAGGAGAAAAAAAACACATTACCGTCTCGTTAAAAATACAAAATACCGCAGTGCTCGCTGCTTGCTACTCGTCGTCTACTCCTCACCGCGCGCGCGCGAGGCTTAACCTCGTTGCCAGTAAAAACACAGGCCGTACATGTGCGCGTTAAGCGTTTGCCCAATGCACTCTTCACTCTTCTCTCTCTCTTTTCCTCTTCCAACTCTCGACTCTCTCTCTCTCTCTCTCTCGCGTCAATGAAGTAGCGTTTCATAATACACGCGCCGAGTCCAGATGAAATCCCATGGAACGTACCGTTACGAAATGCTAAGACGCATCTCGCCTCGACGCGGCTAATTGTACCTGCGTGCGAGCGGCTTTTTCTTCTTCTCCACCGTTTCTTTCGGGCGCTCGATTATTGACGCGCGCCGCCAATTCCGCTTGATCGGCTTACGTAACGTCAGCTTGGTCCGAGTTAATCATGCGTCCCGCGGGCAAATGCCCGACGATAGTGTTTCTCATGATCCCTCCGAGGGAGAAAGTGTCGAGTCGAAGCGAGAAGAAAGCAGGAAGCGCGAGCGTCCGCTCGTACGTTGGGTCGGCGACGTCGCGACGGCAACGATCGCGCAGTATTGCTCGTGACAGGCCGCACCGCGACCCAAATACCCAATTGTACGCGCGATCCGCTCTCGTCGATGTAGTACATCAGGGCAGCGCGCGGTGCTCTCTCGGCGTCGCCTGTGACGCATCCGTCGCCGAAGCGGGCCTCGTAAAAAAAATTACAGCTCAATTTCCCGAATGGCCGGGTCGCGCTCGCGCGTCGATACGTATTGGCGGTCATGTATAGCCGAGGGAGTTGAGCCTCTGGTTTATGCCAGCCGTCAGACCTACCCCTGCCCTCCCCGCGGCCCAGCTATCTGCTCTCCTCGCGATAAAATGCGCTTGCCCGAAATTACTTCTTGTTTGCGCTCTCGTTCCGATGCTATCGGGCCGCCGCGGCGCTTGTGTCACGGTCGAGCGGCCGCTCGTCGCGCTGGAAACAAGTGACGCGCGGATTCGGTTTTGCTCTGCTGCCCGTTTGCGGCGTTTCCTGGCCAAGCACAAGGGAGTCGACGAGCCGAGGCGCTCAGCGGCTATCGACAGCCCGGGCTCGGCAGTCGGCAAAGACGCTTGCCGTGGACGGGTAATTGCTCGTCAATATTCCAACGCGAATAACCACACTGCCGAGAGCACGAGATGAAGTTGACGCACTGCGGCGTTTGTTGCTCGATCAATTGGACTTACGGTGTTTGATGTGGAGTCTGGGCAGCGGATCCATGGGCCAGCAGCCGGCCGCCTGAAGGATGGCGAGGGCCGCCACAACGATGCACGCGATATTGCGCTCCATGGTCCTCGGCAGCAGCAGCTGCGACGACTGGCTTGCGAGCGCGCTGGAGTGCCGATGCTCACTCGCGAGGACTGCCGCGACAAGCCGGTCAGCCTGCCCTCGGCATCACCGTCGTCATCTCCGTTCCCTCGGCTGCCTGCAACACCAATCGAGGATCAATTGCAGCTCCGCGTCACGCTCTCGGCGAGAGAGCCTTTACGTAAGGCGCCGTCGCGTGCATGATTCGGCAATCGGAGCAGTCGCCGCGACGACGACGACAACAAGGAGGTAAAAACGTCGCTCGGCATCGCCAAATCATAATAAATCCGTCTCGATCGAATGGAAAGCGAAGCCGATGGACGGCCGCCACGGCGCGCTTTCACCGCTCGCGGTCGCCGGCGAGGACAGCTTGGCGCGCGCCTGCACCGTCGAAGGACGACGCTCGAGCGGCGGCCAGTTCAGCTCTGCGCGCGAGACGAAGAAAAGAACGCCGGCGCACTCGATGCTTTGTCTCGACGCGAGGCGCGAAAGTTGCCTCTAGGGCGCTCGCCACGCTAAATCGATCGTTTTGCGGGCGCAAAACGTGTCGCCACTTTGCACGAGACTCGCGGGGGGGGGGGGGGGGGGGGGAGACAGCAGCGTCTCGGGCCCCGGCGTCGTCGTCGACACTACGACAAAGATGGGGAGCGCGCCGCCTCAATTTGCAAGCGTAAATAAATTAGAGGCGCCGCGGTGGCGACACGCGACTAAAAACTCGCGGGCGACACGCGTAACAGTAGAATGCGCGACGTAGGCGCGGGCGAACTCGGAGTACCTAAATGATCGGCGCGGCGCTTGCATATGCATGGCGCAGCCAGGCATCGGCGACCGCACTCGTAGTCGGCCTTCTGACCTGAGGGCATATCGTTGACGCTCGGGCTCCTGAATATTCAGCCCCGGCAGCGCCGATCGCCGCCACAATAAACTTGGAGGTCGGGGCGCGAGAGGAGGCAGCGCGCGCCGGAGAGGAATGCTAATACCGGCTCTCGAATGAAAAGCTGCCGGGAGCTTTTATCGCTGCCGTGGCGCGCTCGCGAGCCCGACGCGGAACAATGCGCACGCGACAACATGCGGGCAGCGCGCAGGGGGGCGGGGGACCCCCATAAGGGATCTGCGGCGCGCGCGCGCCTAATGTGTGCACGTCGCCCGCGCGGCTGCTTGTTTTTCGCGCGGCCGCTTGTTTGCCGTGCGCCCCCAGCGCCTCGCCTCGGATGTTAATTGAAGTACGAAGTTGGAGCGCAGTTCGCCTCGGTTATGCTCTCCGCGAGAGGCAGTTTCCAGGCAAGTTTCTTCGCCGGGGCGAAGGCTGTTTTTACAAGCTGCCAACCGGCCCCGACTGACGCGCGCAGCCTGCTAAATTAGCGCGGCGCGCGGGCGCCAGAAAAAGGCAGCGACGCGTGCGCGACATTAAAAGCGACTCTCGACGACGCCGGCGAAGCACGCGCGCCGGGTTAACTTTGTTTTTAATTTGCTACGTGTGCGCGCGCGAGTCGGAATCGACGGGTGCGCGCGAGCGGCGTAGGCGGGCAGAAAGCAAGCCGCAGCAGCTGCGCCGGCTCTGGCTGTCGCCGCGAAATTCATAAATCTGCCGCGGCGACAGCGCCGCGGAAAAACAAAGCCGAGTCGTCGCGCCGGGGGTCGATATTGCGCCCGACTAATAATGAATTCCGCGTGTACGGCCCGCGGCAAGTTGCGCACCCCGATTGAATTCGAAATCAGCCGGCGCCGCCACTGCGTCAGCTTTCGGCAGTGCAAATATCGGTAAATTGGCCGAGTCGCGAGAGGTGGGAGAGCGAAAGGGCAAGTTGGCCGGCTGCGGTGCTCGGAGGAGAGCTCGCTGCTGGATGCAGGCTGACCGAACGCGCCGCGCCCCCGCTCGCCTTGGCGCTCTCGCAACTTGTTGCGCGCCCGAATCCGCGAGCGGCGCCGCGCCATCGGCAGTTTTAATCGCCCGCGGCCTCGGGCTTGGCGGCTCGGAAAATGCACTCGCCGCCGGCGCGTCGCCCCGGGACTGGCATCAAGGGCCCGGACCACGAAGCTCTTCGTCCGCTCGGGCTTTGTCCGAGAGGGCTCCTCGCAGTTCATCGTGCGTCGCGCCCATGTGGCGGCCTCCTCCCCCGGGAGAGCGCGGACGGCCGCCGCGTTGTGTTGGCCGTCGACGCAGTGACCTGTAACACGCGATTGCCGAATCCTCCTCCAGGATCATCCCCCTGCTCCGCCGCTGAACTCGAAGCCTATGCGTGAGCCGGGGAGGAAGCGAGAACAAGCGTCGACAGGCTCGATTCCTAACGAATGCGAGGTGCAGTTGCTTCGGCACTCGGATATTCCAATATCCCGGCCGGAATAAAAGAAGGGCCATTGCACAGCGGACTATCGCGCACGCGGGAGTCGATCGAATAACGCTCTGGCAATATTTATAAAAATTGCAAGGTTCGCGCCGGCGCATTCTCTCTCTGTGCGGCCATAAACTGCGATAGGTCATGAAATTCAATTTCTTACTCGCTCTCCCGCTCTCTTGCACAATGGGCGAAATTCCGGGGCGCGCACTCGCTCTCCCTGTCTCTCTCTAAGGCGAATCGTCGAGGGAAAAATTATTCCATGGAAATTTCGAGATAAAGCAACGGCGCGTGTAAGCTATGGAAAACGCCGCTGCGCGCCGTGTAGTTCGCCTATATGGAAATGTATTCCAGGCAAATTTCGTTGAATGACTGAGACGCCGCCTGCGCCTTCTCCTCCGCGGCTGACTTGGCGCTTGCTCAATATTTTCCTCCTCGGCGCGCCGAAAACCCGGAGGCTCGCGCGCGCGCCCTCGCCAATCGGCATCGCGTTCGTCGACGCGGCCGCGGTAATTGATGGAAAATTGCTTATCATCTGTTAATAATTAACAATGGATGGTGCGCGAGATTAGTCGGCAGCTATAGCGAGCTGCGCGCGTAATCAACGGCATAATTAATTAGTTTGTTAATTCAATGCAACAGCAGCGGGAGCAACGGGAGCAGCGGTGGCAGCGGCAGTAGCAACGGCAACTGCAGCAGCCGCGAGACCGGGGGCAGGGGCGGGCGGTGCCATAATTGCTCCATGCGAATCAGCATGCGGAAACGGTTGATAATGCGCGCAGCCGCGCGTCCCCTTCGATGGCACAATGGGACTGGAGCGGGGCAAGATTTCCGAGCGCTTAGCGGCGAATTATCAGGCGGAGCCGCGTTTGCTTTTCCCAGCAAATCAGCGAAAAGCAATAACGGGCCGGCAGCGACGTCTGCCCGCCGTAAATCGCTCGTCGCGTCCGCGCGCGACCAAAAGCAACGCCGGACAAACGAGTGCGCACCGATCGTAAATCCATCCCTCGAGCCGCTCACTGTTAATCGCATTAACAGGTGCGCGCGATGCAGCCTGCGAGCCTCCCGTTCCATTTGCCTGGCTTTCCCACTTTATCATTCGCCGGTTTATCTCGCACTCTAGCGAGCGACGGAAGGACAGAGACGGATAGACGGCCGACTCGGACAGATGGACGACGACGGCGTCAGCGGATGTTTTGCTGGGCGATCAGCGCTCCGCGCGGCGAGAGAGAGTCTCGCGACGACGCTGCTACTTCGCGTGGCAGCGAGTCGGAGGATAATGGCAGAGGCGGGGCCGCGAGCTGCTCGTCGAACTCCCGAGGTCGCGGCCGAGAATGAAAAGCCGATTGTTCGAGGCGACGTCCGACACTCGGCCGGGGCTCGCTACCGGAAATGACCGATAAGCGATCGCGAGGACGAGAACGGCGACGGCGGCGGCGCCGCAGCCGGCAATCTGGCCAAAGAGCTCTGCCGGCGGCTCGAGATAGCGGCACAGCCGAATTTCGCGGATGAAGGAATTCAGCCGTTTGGTTAGTGCTCTCCCGGCCGCTACCGCGCTACTGCTGATTTCCTCGGGGGAGGATATTCGCCGGGGTGAGACCCTATTACGCTGAAATGGAAATATTCGCGGCCATTACGCCAAGAAGCAGCGCCAAGGAGTGAGCGGATGAAGCTGCCGGCGCTGCTGAAATATCACCGAGTCCGCCGACGGGGGATTCTTTGTTGCATTAACTATTTCTTCGTATTAGCTCGGGCGCATTATTCATGCGGCTTTGTGCCCGGCGAGGATCATCCGCAGTCTTGGAGATTTGCGAGATTAAGCGATCCGGCCGAAAGGGAGCGCGTCGAGGGCGCGAACTCGCGGACGCGCGCCGCATCGCCACCGCCGCCGCCGCCGCCGCCGCCGCCGCCGCCGGAGGAGCTGCGGCCGCGGCGATCTATTGACCAACGCGCGGGCATCGCAACCTACTTCTCGCCCTCGTACCCCACCCCGCGACATGAATAAGTATTCATTTTTCATGCGGCGCTTTTTCCGTCGGAATTTGCTGAATTTATAACCCATGAAGCCGCAGTCGCAGCCATTGTTTGAATAATTCAATCGTAGTCGGTCTCTCTGTCTCTCTCCCCTTGGTCGGCGCAGCCAGCACCGCCATGAATGCATAAAGTCCACCGAGTTTAATTAAAAATTTTCCTCGAAATATTATCCTGCGCGAACGACGTGGATCTCTCAATTGGCGCGGGAGCGGGGCTAAAAATACGCGTGCCCTCTGCGCGGAGAGCGGCGCTGAATTAAAGTCGAGGGCGCGAGCGAAATTGGAGCGGAAAGACAACGGGGAGCAAGGAGGAAAATCAGAGCGAGGAGGGAGAGCCGAGCAGACGGCCGGGCCGCGCGGGGGAGCGAGAGGCGAGCGCGTTCCCGCCGAATCAGCGCGGCAGATAAATCCTCGCGCGCGTGTACGCGCGGCAACATGCACGCCTCCGTCGGCCGGGAAAGCTACACCTTGCGACGGCTTCCTCGGCTCCTCCTCGGCTCCCCGAGAAATAGGAGCAGGTTTAAGCAGGGAATATTAGAGCCCGCCGGGGAGGAGAGGCTCCAGCCGCTCATAAAGAAAGATTCTTTTTGTTTTGGAATTTCATTTCGCCGTCGCCGTCGTTTGCGTCGCGAGTACTGCGATCTAGCCCGAGTTAATAAGGGGCCCGTGAAGGAGAACTGCAGCGAGCCACTGGAATACAAAAGTTACGGGCAAATTTTATCCCCCCTTTTTTTTCGAGACCGAGATAT